AAGCTTGCAGATACTCATCAAGTAGGTTGAATACCCAAGAAAACATTTAAAGTGACTGTATGTCAGTCATTCAATTTTTTTTATGTTCTCTGAATAATAAGTACTGGGATACAGAAAAAAAGACTATCCTGCCCTCCCAAGAACTCAGATTATATGAAGATAATTATCAAATACATGCTTTCATATATATATCATAGGCTGTGATGGAGTAAAATACAAGGTACTATCGGATGTAGGACATAGTTAGATGTGATATGGGGAAGAAATAGACTGGTTTCTGTTTAAAATTTGTTTATCTGCATAGGTAATATGTTTATATAGTTCTAAGTATACAGGAATATAAACCGAAAGTCTCTCTGCACATCTGTCCTCCAGCCACCCAGTTTCTGTCCTCAGCATCAACCTATTATTACTTGTGCATTCTTCTGAAGCTAATTGTTGGACTGAATCTTAAAAGGGTGACTTAGGCTAGGTCACTGTTAAGAGAAAGGGATGAATTTCTGAGTAGAAGAGGATGGCAGTTTGTGTAACAGTGTGGAAGAAAGAGATGTCAGTTTTGGGAAATGATGTGATTAATTTTGACAGCAACCAGAGTGAAGGGCTTAAATGTCATGGTGAGAAATTGTGATTTTTTTAATCAGAAGATTATGGTTGCTGTTAAAGATGTTTCTTGAAGCTTTTACTGTTAAAGTAGTATGTATCTTAGAACCATTTCAGTACACTTTTCAGTGATTATTGTCTTTTTAATTAAAATCTTACGAAAAAGTTGTGTAATAAGGAGATCCTATGGGAGCTCTGAGTCCCAGAAGTCAGGATTCTTATCCAATGAAATATACTAAATAGTTTGGTATACCCAGCTCTAAGTTTAAGTTCTGTTTGCCTGAATATTACCTTAATAATGATGAAATATTGAGTATATGTTAAGGTACTCTATTAAAAGTTGATTTTTATATAGCATGATTTGGAAAGTGTAATCCTATATTAAACACAAATCCTCCTCAAGCTTAATTTTGTGAGGCCTTATGTATGCATAATCTCATTGAGTTTTTCAGCAACTGTAAGGAAGTGTTCCTCCCTTTTTTATGGATTAAGGAAACTGAGGCTTTGAGGGTTTGAATCACATACTTATTAAGTAACAGCATATATTCAGACTTAGGCCTTCTGACACCAAACCCAGTGCTCTTGGATATTTCCAGAGTTAGTTTTATTTTATTAATTTTCTTACTATAAGATAGGAGGAAGGAAGGCTACTGTGGCTACCCATCTGTTGTGTTGTAACCCTTTACCTAAAGGATATTTTTAATCATTTTAAGTCCTTAGATAGTAATATTGGAGATGGCCTGTTGTGCTTCCCTGATTTCTATTTAGAGATCGCTGAAGTTGAGTTTTGACATAAGGGAAGAAAGTATTTGCTGAGTTCAGGGCTCATGTACCTCGTCCTTTAACATTCAGCAATTTTCATAGCTTAGTTTTGAGGTATGGAATGTTTTTCCTCTCTGTTAACAGTTACCCTACAGAGATAGTATCTTAGCAAAGCAGGTCGATGTATGTCATATTTGAGTCACTCTGTGATGTACTACTTTCATGTACTTAGAAATTAATAGGATAGGTTATTTAGTATATAAAGTCAGGAGGAAAAGGATATATTTTGTTCATTGGTTTTGAAAAATGTCCACAAATGGGGAAACAGCATTTTCATTTCGGTGGCTGAAATTCAGAATAAACCATGCCTGAGTGTCCCTAAGAAGCGCTTTGTTGGCTTTATATTTTGATTAATAGTTAACATTGACATCAAATATGTTATTAGAAAACTGGTTTCAAATTTTATTTCTTGGGCAGAAGAGAATTTGTGACCAAAGTTGCATAAAATTCAGTATTTCTTTTTAATAAATTTTTAATGACCTTGGTTGCAACTTGGTGCCTTCAGATTACATAGACTATATAGCCTTGAAATGATCTCTATTAACAGTGGTTTCCTTGGGCTATCAATTTCCTCAATTTTATGCCATCCCAAAACAGATGATCAAGCCCCTTAGTATTTACAAAATGGCTCTTTTGAAGTTCTTGATCAGTTAGTTTTTACAGATTTCTTTAATATATGCCTGTTAAGCAATATCTTGAGACTAATTGTTGCTCTTTGCTAAAAATCCCTCAAGTTTATGGAAGACATCCCTGCTGAAGTATTAGAGAAATGAAAAGTGTCATATTTTATAAGCCTGTCTAAATGTTTATCCTTGGAATCTAGACTCTAAATTTTTCTAGAGTACATAGATTGTATTACTCCATATGGTTTCTTCATTTTAAATGTATGTAGAAAGTGATTCACTGCCAGCTTTTGCAACCTAAGTGTATTTGTTCTGACATGTTGAAGAGTTTAGGTGCATTTATGGTATTTTATTTCATAGGTTCCTTTTTTGCCCCAAGATACACAACTAGCTGCAGATATATTCTTTTTTCACTTCTACATTTGACTTATGAGAAACATTTCATTTTTAGAGTCTGTGCTGTAAAAATGCTGGAATCTCATAGCTTAAGTCATATGATTTCATTTAAAACCAATTTATTTGGCATATGAATTTGATTCAAATTAAATACATACGTATGTATTTTTCCAAAATCGGGGGATCTGAAGTTTTTTTTTAAAGAATTTCATTCTTATAAATATATTATAAATACTTTTTAATGAATTTTAAATTCCAGACTTGCAGAATAACCTCCAGGTTTACCTTTTGTTGTTGTCTCATATTTACTCCTTTCCTCTTAGAGTCATTCTGTTTTAAATCCAGACAGACCTGTGTGAATAGCAAACTTGTCCCCATATAGGACGGTCCTGGGTAAGCCTGGTTTAAAAAAAAAAAAAAAAAAAAGCCAATCAAGTCTTTAGTTGGTTCAGTTGACTTTCATTTAAATTGGTAGACTGATTCCAAGTACAGTGAAAAAAGCCCCTGCCAAATGTATCTTGAGAGGATATAAGCTGTTAAATAAATAGTGGTTAGCAGCCTCTTAATCCTTGATATTAGCAGATCTAATCAATATGCTTGATTACTTTGGACCCAGCCTCTAGAGAAAAATAAAGGGTTAAAAGCATAGAAAGGAGTTAAAGTAGAGCAAAGAGAAGTACATATACTGAAGTTGCCAATTAATCAAATAGTTGCTTTGGTGATACTCTGGCATCGTCTGTCTGCCTTTCCTAATTTTGGATCATCTAAGAGGTACCCTAGTGGTTAAAACAAAAAATGCCTTTTAAAAAACGTATTTTTTAAAAATTCAGTAGGTATTAAGACTGAGTCTTAATCTGAATTTGGAAATCATGGAATTCTGTTGAGTATTTGTTTTGCTTATTGATCAACATATTTGCTTGCATTCCAGTAGAATTTGGAAATAATTTTTTTGTGGTACTAGTAATACTGTAGAGACTCTTAAGGTGCTTATGAGGGTCTCAGAATTGCCATGTTGTATTTGAACTTCATTTTGATGATAAAATAATAGCTATTATTTATTGACCATTGACTATATATACAAAGAGCTTTATATATAGTCTAAGTTCCTTAACCACCCTGCAAGGCTAAATTATATCACCATTTAACTGATAAAGAGACAGACCTAGAGAGGTTAAAATTGAACTCTACTATATGTTTAGCGTAGTGATTTAAGAGCGTAAACTCTAGGACCAGATTGTTACCTACTAGCTCTGTGACGTCAAGCAAGTTACTTTTGTCTGACCCCTTTCCTTATTGGTGGGATAGGAATAATAATAACACCTGCCTCTTAGGGTTGTTGTAGAATTGTGTTAATAAATGTAAAACACTCAGAATTGTGTCTGGGTATATAATAAGTACTTAATGTTCTTAGCTTGCTGTTATTCTGCTACAGCATGGGTCAAGGATTTTAGAGGTAATGTGACAAGTTTTTGCTAGCTCCCTAATATACATGATGGGGTTGGGGAAACAATGGGAAAATGCTGAGGTAGAGGGGGGAGCTATTAGCAGATTTGTCAGAAGTTTAAATAGTCCCCTAAGAAACCACTCTAGAGATTTGAGGTGAATCATGTAGGCTGGGAGCTCTCCAGGATGAGCCCATCAGTTAAGATTCTATGGTTATAGATAGCCCTAGGGAACATATCTCCAGGGAATGGTAGAAATGGATGGTGATTAAGGTGTGGGAGCTCTTACCTCTTAAAGGCCCACTATACTAATGTAAGAAATTTGAAAGCTGCCATGTAATTGCTGCACCATGTTTTACCCTAATCCAGAGAAACCACACATAATTAAATGGATTATGAAGGTAGAAATGTGCAGTCCAACCCAGAAAAGGACTCAGTTGTTCATCATCAAACTCTATCAAATAGATCCTGTTAAGAATTTTTATGTTATGGGGGTGCTTGGGTAGCTCAGTTGTTGGGCATCTGCCTTCGGCTCAGGTCATGGTCCCAGGGTCCTGGGATCGAGCCCTGCGCATAGGGCTCCCTGCTCAGTGAGAGGCCTGCTTCTCCCTCTCCCACTCCCCCTGCTTGTGTTTCCTCTCTCGCTGTGTCTGTCAACTAAATAAATAAAATCTTAAAAAAAAATTTTTATATTATGAAGGTGTAGCTTAATTTATTTTACGTGAATCCTGTACGTGGGAACAGCTTTGCTAAACTGCTAAATGTTGAGAAACTTAAAAAGGCATCTCATATAGAGTAGTGTTGATTAGGCTGTGAACTGGTCACATTCATGTGTTTAAACATATGCGCACACACATAATTGGATGCTGTTTTATCCGTATTACCGCTTTCTTTTAGAACTGTGATCCTGAATTGTTTTCAGGGTCTGCTGGATTTCATCCAGTTTTTTAATTTCTTTCAAAATGTTTTTAAGCAAGCTTATGTTGTGTTTTTTTTTTCTTTTTATTAAAGCTGTTACACTTTATTACAAATCTAAAATCTTCCATCTTTTTTTGAAAAGTAGTGATTTTACTGTACTTTCTCAACCTCATTTCCATTTGATTCTTGGATCTCACAGGAATCCTTCAACTGCTTTCTACCAAGCGTTCCATTTGAACACGTTTCAGGAATCAAAGAACCTCTGGGATAGGTATGAATACTTAACATATGGAATGCATACATGCAAAAGTGTATGCATGAATTGCTTTGCACTGTACTGGTTTCTCATCATTAAACCTAAACTTTATGTGTCATTTTGGGGGGGTGGAAATCACATGGTATCTAGCATGGGACAAAGCAGCAAAATAAACCAAAAGAGCAATCTATATTTTAAATAGAATGTAAATATACTTTATTTTTTACTTCACTTTTAAGTATATTTACTTTCTTGAAGGACTTAGGTATTCTGTTAAATCTCATTATATGGAATATCCACTTATCCTTGTATATTTTAATATAAAAATATATTCTATAAAATTAACTACAGTTAGTTTACTTTTGTCCTATTTTATATGATTTCTCTGTGAATGCCTTAGTAACTCAAAACGAAATGTCACTTCATATTAAGAAATTGGAAAAGGGATAAGACAAAGGTATCAAAGTAGAAAGTTCATGTTTAATCCTGTTGAGAAACTTTTAACATCAAGCTTGTTTGTTAGAGTCCCTAGACCTGCCTGCATTACTGTTTTGTAAACTCCTAAACAGTTTTTCTCATAGAAATGTTACATAAATTTTGTTTTTAATTTTTTAAAATATAGAATGAAGTCTTAAGCGTTCATTTATAGCAAGAGATAATTTGGTTTATCTTTCTGCTTAACACACATTTTAAGTAGTATATGCTGTGTTCGGTTATTTTGCTGAATATTTATTAGTGCTCCATCATTCTGTGTTTAATTACTACAACAAGCACAAATGCTGTTTTAAAAATTCACACAGAGCTTTGTTAGATTCTTTTAACTCTGCCTGGCAACGCATTTGTGTCCTTTGGCATAGTTTGGATACTACTCATGGACTTAACTCCATCTCTTTCATTAGAAAAGAGTATTGCTAAGTGCATGTACATGTCATGTTAAGACATGGTTTACATTGCCTACAAATGGTAACAGTCTTTTAATTTTTAGGCTTGATTTGTTTGTGTGTCACTCTAAAGAGATTTTCTAACAAAGTATCTTTTCAGTGATATGTTCCTTAACTAAAAATGTTTTAAAATAGTTACTTGTAGAGCAAGAAGTTCTAAAATTTATAGTACAGTGTTTATAATTTCAATTTTGAAATTGTACAGCTGTATCAATGTAAATTAAGACATAAATGTAAATTGTGGCATGAAGCAAACATGAATATTCATTCAAACGGCTTATCTGATGTAGCCAGGGTGAGTACTTTGGGTTGTACTTTATTCTTTTCCATTAGGAAAAGGAAAAACAGCATTCTATTTAGAGATGTAATAAGAATAGTGATAGTCATATGGTAATTTATTTCAAATAGCTAAATTTGTAAGCGACTGTGATATCAATATGAATAAGAGCTGTTATTTTCATCAGAACAATGTAGAAAGGTGTGAGCTTTATTTTTTATAATTTTGACTTAATATTGAAAGTTTTCTTTTGTTTCCTTATAAAACAACCATAGAAGTTGCCTACTCATCATTTGTTGTTACAGCTAAATACTTCTTACCTGTTTTCTTTTTTAGATACAGAAATATTTAAGGTATCAAAATGAGGCAAGTTGCTTTATCTGTAGTTACTCATGGGTTGAAAGTATTTTCTGTTCTCCTCTTTGAAGCCTGTCATCCAGAGCCAAAAAAGTTAATAGTGTGTTAGTAGTATGTTAATGCCAAACTATAATCAGAATTTATATTCTAGATCAGCCGTTCTTCACTATAAGTTGACCCTTTGGTACTAAAGTGACAGGTCCAACCCAGTACTAGTGGCTTCCTTTTAACTTTGCAACTAGCTTATGAAATTTTTAATTGAGGGGCCTGGCTAGCTCAATTGGAGCATGTGGCTCTTGATCTTGGGGTCATGAGTTTAAGCCCAATGTTGGGTGTAGTGATTACTTAAATAAAATAAAACCTGAAAAAAATTGTTTCAGTTGATGAGCAGTAGGCTAGCTTTATTATTTCTAACTATATGACCTCCGTTGGCAAATATCTACAGACTTTTTAATAGGTATATTAGCAAATAAAGTATTATGGGAGTATACATTCTTTTTCATTGCAGATAGAGTTGAAGATTTATGTGTGTTAAACTTTAAAAAATAGTAAATATAACTTCTCCTGACCATGTTTATGTTAGATTTCACCAAATTGCCTTGTTCATTTTTTTACTATTATAAATTACAGATTTTTAAAACGATTTTACTAATTTGGCAAATAAGTATTTTGCAGGGATGATTCTGTTAAACAGAACCATTCAGGAGTTTATGGGACTGTAAATCCCTTACATTATCTACTTAGTTTGAGGTATAAAATTGCTTATTAGTATTGACAGATACCATATTTCAGGTTCTTGTTTATGAAATCTTGGAACTCATTTTCACTAGAGACCGCTTTAAAATTTAAGCCCTGTGCCAGTTTTCATTAAACCTGCCCTAAATAGCTGAAGATCCTGGTTTTGCCTTACTTGAAAGTCTGGAATCTTTTTTTTTTTTTTTCCCCAAGATTCTTTTAGCAGAGTATCTTTTAATCAAAATACAAGTAATTAATATACCTTTCCTCACATTGACTCAGAGTTCCCTAATGGCCCCTTTGTTTCCTTCTCTGTTTAAATTAGAATTACCAAATTGAGAAGGTTTTCACCCATTTGCCTCTGCCTGTATTTAGAAATTCTCTTGCCACTGATAGCCCGTGCCTTATTCAGTTATTGTACTAAACTTTAAGTTGCTGTCAAGCCTTCCTTTCCTTTTTACTGTAGGTGCTGTCATTGTTCTCTGTCTTCCCCCGCTTTTGTCATTTGCAGAGTACTCAAGGAATCAAGCTAAAACCATCACTAAATATAAGGACAATTGATACTGACAGCTGGAAAATAATACAGACCTTTCCTAGGAAGTGCAGAATGTTTGCATTGACTTTTTATTAAAATGAATAACGTAGTTTCTGTAATTAGTTTCTGGAGATTATCTTACTGTAGTGATAGTGATACTTAGTGATACTCTAGCCTGTTGGCATTTCAGAATAACAACTTTAAATTTTGACTTTATACTTTTCTTCTTTAAAGAACAGTTCTGAACTTAATTATTGGCATTGCTTTGTTACATTGACAAAATTAGTTTAGAAATTTATTTTACTAATCACTGGGGAACAGGCTTTTATTGGACATCCTTTGTCTGCAAAAAAGCTGAGGGTAAGAATTTATAACAAACACATTTACCCTCTTGTGTATATCAGGTCAGTAAGGTAAAGGAGCACTAGGGAGGAAGAAAGTTTTGCCAGGTAGACCAAAGGAAGAAATCAGGTAACTTTTCAGGATTTAAACTTCATTGATAAACACATGCAGTATTTCTGCTTTAATGAAGAAAATGCACAAGCGCAGTTAACAAATGAGAGTAACAGTTGCTAGGTGCACTATCCCCATGAGTTGGCTTGTCCTTTCTTGTGATAGCACCAATATTTAAAGAGAAATAAATAAGGAAAGCAGTAGTGCACATGGGTGTTAACTCAAAATGAATGTCCAAGTTTATGGTCTTTTTACTAGATGCCTGATTTCAGTTAAATTGTCTTGTTTAGTCTTTTATTATAGTGATTATTCACTTACATCTGTTTGCATCTAGTTTAAAAATTACTCGATTTAAAAAGTTCTGGTTTAAATCACGTATTTTGTGTTAGAAAACAGGTATTCAGTATTTGCTATCATTGTTCCTTTGAGATTTCATTTTTGAAGTTAGGAGTAGATCAGAAATAAGCTGCTTATATGAGATAATTTGTTTTGTTTTATTCATTCTCCAAGAAGCTTGGGTACATCATTAACACCCACCAGTACTTGCTAACCCAGATGGTAAAACTCAGGTTTCAGAGCTTGGCTAATCTAGTTTTTGAATGCTCAGTAATAAGACATTTTAAAAATCTTTTTATTAAAGTATAATTTGTATCAGAAAGGTACACCATTCATAATTTGTACAGCTTGAACTGAACGCACCTGTGTAACCAGGACCCAGATCAAGACACAAAATATTGTAAGCTCCTTATTTTGTGTCTCTCTTGTTTCACCTAATGTTTGATATTCATCTATATGGCTCTGCACAGTTGTAGATCTGAACTAAAGTTGACTTGAACAATGCAGGGGTTAAGGGCACTAACACCCTCCTCCCCCTGTGCAGTTGAAAATCCAAGTATGACTTTTGTCTCCCCAAAAACTTAACTGCCTATAGCCTACTATTGACGGGAAGTTTTACTGATAAACAATCAATTAACACATATTTTGTATGTTGTATGTATTATATATTGTTTTCTTACAAATTAAGAGAAAAATGTTATTAAAATCATAAGAGAAAAATACATTTAAGTACTTAAAAATTCATGTAAATCACTATACTATGTTGTACGCATGTAACTGAATATATCAACCATGTGTCCATAAACATAGATAAATAAGATCCTTATTTATCTGTACCTGTGCAGTTCAAACCCATGTTGTTAAAGGGTTAATAGTACGTAATTATGAAGAATCACCATAGTGAGTTACTTGTTGGAGACTGTTACTAGTCAAATATTCTCTCCTTATTAGGAGATATTCTCTACTTACTAGATGAGGCTATGAACCTGAACTATTTTGTAAGCACCCCAAATATATTCTCTAATAATTTGTACTTAGTACTTACATGATTTATTATGTGATTACATTTCGACCTATTTCAGTTACGGATAACCAGTAGAGGATAATCAAAGACATGAAATTAGAGGACAAAGTTTTAGTGACCTGGCACCTTTTAGGACTGGATCTCAGATTTATAAAAAAACTAAGGATAAATGTTCAGACATTAAAACAGGAAGTTTTAGCTATTACTGGATGATCGCATTTATAAATTAAACAGTCTGAAGCATGTGAAGAAATTGAGAAATTGATAGAACTTCTGTGTAAATTCAGGAAGGTTGAGATTTCTCAGTTTAGAACGTAGAGTAAAAAGTACCTAGATGTTGCCTGCTTTTTACAATAT